CAGATCCGGGTTCACTCCCTCATGTCAAGGGAAATCAACAGTTGGTCCACTACAACTGGACATATTCTTCGGTTTCGCATTAGACCTCTTGCTTTTAGTAGACATTCGCCTCTTCCGCTGCACATAGTAACAGATAAATCAGAGAATGAAAATTCAATCAAGTTTAAACTCTAAATTAACCGTTTCCGGATTCGTACCTTTATTTCGACGCCTTTTCTTCTTCTTCTAGAATCAAAATTCAGAAGAACAATGGCATATGATACCGGAAACAATGGCGAATAAGAGAAGTGAAAGAAACCTTTCGTTACTATGGCACAAAACACGAAGTAAACATCGGTTATAGTGATTTTACTATAGAAACACGCATCCCTTCAATGAGAGAAACGAAAGGGTAATTGCTTTCGAGCTCGCACGTGTGGAGGGGCATTTTTGTCAATTTACAAAGCGCAATTCAATTGCTGTGGCAATTGGCGAGCATTTCAAAATAATGGCATATTTGGTAAAGAATTGTGTAAACAATGGCATTTTAGGTAAAATTCCCTATTTTTTTCACCCGATCATTCGTGTTGTTTTTAAATGTTAAATTCGTGTTGTTTTTAAATGTTAAACTTCGTGTGCTAAATTTGAAACAAAGACTATTTTTTGTGCTATTTTGTTATATTTCTAAAAAAAATAGTGGTACATTTAGTACAAAAAATGAAACATATGATAGTTTTCCATATTCAAAATTAATTAGCTAATTAACCAAAAAAAAAAAAATTCCTTTGTGTTTTCTTAGGTTTATGTAAAATTTCTTCTATAGCTATTGGTTTATGCTTTTATGGTATATTACTTGGAATTTACTCAAGGTATTAAGAATTGTAACCTCCATTATAACCATTTGAGTACAACAGCCAGAGGAACAAAGCCAATTCATGAATGGAGCCTTTGCATAATGATTTTGCAAGATTTGACCAGATGATGCAAAAGAATCTCATTACACCGGATCCCTTTTTGCTTGGAGGAGGTTTTGAGCAGAGCTCTTAGTATGTGGACTTTGATTCCTTGACAAAAAAAAATATTGAGAACGGAAAATAAATTTCGCTAAGATCATGCTTCTCATTGTTTATCATCTGATTGTCCTTTTTTTTGTGTGTAAATTTCAGATTTTTGGAAGTAAAACTGCTGTAAAAGCTGCCTTCGGTGTGATCATTCAGAGGCTGAGGAGAAGTTTCTTCAACCCGGTTTAGTCTTCTGCGTAGGAGAACTTTGTTCATTGTGGATTTTAGACTTTTGGTGTTAGTAGCTTTTTTGTTTTTTTTTAATGCTCTGCTTGTAAGGTTTCTTATATACATGATGTAATAATACAACACTGAATTGAAACCCAATTTTTTTCGTCTCAACCACTGAACCACACCAACTCATTAAGTAGTTGATAAGTATTTTCGTCTCAACCACTGAACCACACCACACCAACTCATCAAGTACTGAAGAGTTGGCTCTTGGTTTTTGCCCTTTTACTTGATCGCCCTGATGAGAACCGACCGGTTAACAAGAGTAAACCGGCATGACTAGGTCATAAATTATAGTATTAGAATTGTTCGAATTTGGTCCCATCTGGTGACGCCAGATTAAATTAATACATCGATCTCTATCTAAGTCAAATCACGAAACCGGACTAAAACTCTCGACATATCACATATGTGCCCTGATAATTGTGAAAAATGCTCGAAGTCAAAGTCTTATGTAGTCTTTTTTTGTTTGGTGAACAAAACAAAAAAAAACTTATTTGTTTCACATTTCATTATGAAACTAAGTCGTTTGGGTGCTTAATTGAAAGAACTCTTTTGGCGTTTGAGTGATTATTATTGATGGCATTTTGATCAATCTCCTTTGTTCTTAATTTCTATTTTGTCTTCACTGGTTAATTAGATAGATTTTTATAAAGTCTTTTAAAATGAATTGTACCAGTCTAGGATACAATCGAATTCACATTACATAAAATATAGAATGAAAACAGTTATGTAGATAGTTCTTATATTTGATTAAAGTAGCAATATAGGTGTGTGTTAAGAGTATAGTAAAACATTATAAATTTGGAAAATTCATAGGGGTACATTTAGTTGAATTATAAAGGTCTAAATCTAAATAGGAGGACAACGGGAATCACAATCTGCTTGTTTTTTCCAACAAAGATTTTGATTTTTAAAACAGCACCAACAATCTCTTCCAAAAAAAAACGGTGATGAACATTTGGCAGGGACACATGGTGGAATAGTGAGCTTGCTTGACCTCTCTATTTCTCTAACATCCATTTGCATGCCTACACATTTGAAACCACGAACACTTAACCAAACTTTGACAATGACAAACACAAAGAGACCTTTAATAGTTAAAGGGTCTCTCGGTTTGATTAATTTTAGAAAAAAAGGATCTATTTTTCCCCGGGGGAATCTTTAGAATTACCACTGCTTAGCTTTCAATTCGCCTCTGTCTCTTTCTGTTTCAAAATCCAATATTTTTTAAGAATAAAATATTGAAATGAAAAGAAGAATCAACTTAAACCGGTGTCGGCTATCGTTGACTGCTTCTTTGAGGTTTTTTTCCCTAAGCCGAAGCGCCGGACTGCACTCGAGAATGGGATAGCTTCCCCTTTTCTCAAATAATACGAGGTTCTCTCTTANTAATTCAATCTATCCTTAGAAAATATATTATATTACCTTTATTGATAATAATTAAAAATAGCACTCGTGCATTACTATTTCAAGTGATTCTAAATATGAGAAGTCCCCCTTGGATTCGAGAAGACGGAAATGAAGAACGGGAACGAAACCAAAGGTCTTGAGCGACCGATCCGGCAGAACAACTCAAAAGATAAAGAAGTATCGTGAATTTCTCGTTCCTGTCAAGAAAAAAAGTGCAGCGCCAATAAATCCATGAGAGATTATTTGTAAAATAGCTCCATTAAGTCCAGGATCCGTTATAGCCGAAATATCACAAGTACCGCCCCGTCCCGGACCATCGACAGTTTGCAAAATTTAAAAAAAAAAAAGATTTACGAATTAATCGGATAGTTTTTCTTTTGGATCCCAATTCCAATATGAACCCCACGTCTCATTAGCCCATACAGCTCCTGAAAGAATACCGACGGTTAAAAAGATAAATCCAAGACTAATAATACGAAAACTCCAAAAATCCCCCGAAAATATTTTGAGTTCAATCCTTTTTTTTAACTGTTATATATATGAAGAAACCTAAACATACACTCATGTAGAGCAAAGAGAGAGAGCATGAAAATGCAGATGAGAACTGTCTGTAGAGCTCTCCTTCATATCTGAATGTATGAACAAAGTCTTATTTTGGTATTAAACTGAAAACAATCGGTTCTCTAGATTTAATGTATATTATTGCATTGTTTTATATTTTCACGCCTCCTTTTTTGAATATGCATTAAAATAAACTTAGCTGATGAACAAACAATCGTGTTTCTCTCTCCAAACGAAAGAGAAAATGCAACCTTGACTTCTATAAATAATTGTAATACTTTATTCAAACCCAATTTAAATTCAATGTTGCATCGACTCTTTCTGAGTTCAACCTATGCCCTCTATAGTACATAACATATTTTAATGATTGAGCTTTGCTATTTCTGTACTCTCTGTAGCATAAATCTAACAGAAAGTTTACCTTTTCCCTTACCAATTCGACAACAAACAATTTTCAGCTTTCACATGTACCGGGAAATACATTAGTTGACTTTTAACAAATTTTATAAGTGCATGAATGCATCAATTATCAAAAGATATCAGTGTCGTTATATGGAATAAAGAACAATACTTCGAATATCTCAACTTACAAGAAGGAAAAAACTAATAATTATCCACAATTTCAACGGAAAACAGGACCCCAAATTGATGATAAACGACATAACCAGTTAACTACATGTCGACCAATCATATGAACACAACAATGCATAGGATGTTTGACTAAGTAAGAGGATTGAACAAGATTTTTAATTTGTCGTGAATAACAATAGCCAATCAAAATCTAACAAAAGATCAACCTTTCAGATTTTGCAGCTTTCCTTTATTAGGAAACACTTGAATAGAAAACAGTGTTCCAATAATGGTGATGAATACCTGGATGCCTTCAAACATGAGAACTGCTCAGACCTAACTCTGAACCTCACCATTCCGAGTTCAACATATGTCTGTGTTTGTGAAAGCTTACTTAAACCAAGCCTCTCATTCTTCCAGTTTATTTTTCTCTCCCGGGTAAGTAGACCGCATCAATGTTTTCGGGTTGAAAAAGTCATCTCACCAGTAATCTCCACACGAGCAGGCACCGTTGTTGAAATGGTGAAACCGTTGCATGTCACGTACAATAATTTCCCGTCCGGTAACAAGGGAAATGTATTTTGTAGCGTTGTGACAATCGGCACAAACCCGCAGGTTCTTTCTTACGTGAATAGTTGTACCTGCTGTTGTATTCAGGAGTCCAAAGGAAATAGCCAGCTTCTCGCTGTGGCCGCTCAACAACTGCTCCTTAACATCATCTTCCACGCCGAGGATTAAATTCATGTCAGGAACATAACCAGCTTCTTTGATTTTCCCCATCAGCTTCTCAAGAAAATCGTAAATTTTCTTGGAATCGGGATGAGCTGTGCTTCCAGAGAAGAAGCTATGCAACTCATTCTTTATCTCCACCATACTGCAGCCAGGAGTTTTACGAAGACCCTGTCTCAACATTGAGACTCTCACTTGCCCCACTTTTTCCCACATTGAAGATGCACGATATATGTTTGCAAGCAGCACATGATACCCACCATCTTCCGAGTTCAACTCAAACAATTTCTCTGCTGCTTTCTCGGCGAATTCCACGTTTTTATGAATCTGACAAGCACCTAACATGGCTCCATATACATTGACAGACGGCTTAACGGGCATCTGAATAATAAAGTCCCAAGCTTGATTTAACTGTCCACCTCGGCCCAGGAGGTCGACCATTGCTCCATAGTGGTCCATTGACGGTTCTATGCAGTAGTATTCCTTCATCATATCGAAACACTTGAGTCCTTCCTCCAACAAACCAGAGTGGCTGCAAGCAGAGATAATAGAAAGAAATGTGACACCATTTGGTTTGATGGTGCCTTTTTGCATTTCTTCAAACAACTCCAGAGCAGATTTCCCAAGGCCATGTGTCCCGTATCCATCTATCATCGCATTCCAAGTCGTCACGTGATGCTCGCTCATCATGTCAAAAATCTTTCTTGCAGTCATAATAGCTCCACATTTTGCATACATGTCGACTAGAGCTGTTGTGACAAAAATGTTCTTGTCCAGACAATTTCGCATGACAACCCCATGTATCCACTTCGCCGGATGTGTAATTGACAACTCCGCAAGAGCAGTTATCACACTCACATAAGTAAATGTATCTGGTTTCACGTTCCAAGCCTGCATCTGGCTAAAATAATTCAATGCTTCGATTGGACGTCCATTCTGTGCAAATCCTAATATCATTGCGTTCCACGATACAACCGTTCTGGTATGCAATTTCCCAAATATAGAAGCTGCAGTATCAACTTCCTTGCACTTGCAATACATGGAGATCAAAGAGTTCAGTACCGAAACATTTCTATCAAGATCCAACTTAACTGATAACTCATGGATGAACCTTCCTCTCTCAAGGTCTCCCAGGTCAGCACAAGCGTGCAAAGCACCCATGACAGATACATCAGTGGGTTTCACTCCTTCATCCAACATCTTCTGAAAAATTACCATTGCCTCTTTAGGATTCTCATTCTGCACATACGCATCAATCATCGAATTCCATGAAACAACATTCCTTTCTAACATCCCATCAAATATCTGTCGAGCAGTTTTCAGATAACCACATTTTGCGTACATATCAACCAAAGCAGTAGGGATATTGACAAGAGAATCAAATCCAGCTCGCAAAGCATACCCATGAATCTCCTTGCCAATACTCATCGACCCCAACGCAGAGACAGCAGGCAAAACAGAAACAATAGTGATAAAACTCGGCTTTAGATTCTCCTTGCACATTAGAGTAACCATATCTAAGGCCATCCTCGCTAATCCATTCTGTGAATACCCAGAAACCATTGTATTCCAAGAAACCAAATCTCTCTCAGGCATTCTATCGAACACCTTACGTGCCTCGTGTACCTGCCCGCACTTTGCATACATATTCTCAAGCCCAGTCATGGCAAACAAATCAAACGAGAATCCACCCTTCACCAATAACCCATGAATCTCCTTTCCCATTCTAAGATCTGCTTCGTCTCCACAAACTTTCAGGAGATAAGTGAAGTTATACACAACCAGCTCTACATCATCATACCTCATCCGAACAAAAAAATTCACAGCTTTATCCAAATCCGAAACTTTAGCATACCCTTTGAGCATAGTGTGATAAAGAACATCGAGCTTATCATCAATCGGTTCAAAAACACGAGCAGCCTCGTCGACACTACCATGGCGACAAAACAAACTGACAAGCTTGGTCTGGAACAGATGCTCGTGAAAAAGACCGTTCTTCAAGACAAGAGACAGAATTTGACGGAGATCTTTCAGAGAAGAGCATTTCTCGAGGAGAAGAGCCGTCGGATGCTCGTAGACATTAGCCGGAATGTAAATTCTCCGAGAAAGAAAACGACGATGGAGTGACGATGATAATGGCGAATTAGCGATTTGAGGAACTGCAGAGACATGCACCAATTGTGAGCTCATGGTCCTTAATCGACAATTGCTTCAATTACAGGTCCGAAAATCTTCTCTTGATTCTAAAAATCTCGCCTTTTTTATATAGCAGACAAACTAACACACACTTGCTATAAGAACAGAGCTTGTTGTGACATCATCGTCAATGTCTGGATATTATTGATTGTCACAGTGACGTGAGCTGATTCCGTAGAAGAAGGTGTAGTGACTCAGAAATGAATAAAGAACAAAGTCGTGCAAGACGGGAACTTTGACTTTGTTAACAAATTTGGGTCAATCAAGCGTATAAAGACCGCCATTTATACAAAAAAAATATATAAAGATGATGCATCTTGCGACTTGTATCATCATAGAACAGTGACACTTGACTTGACCCTTTAGCTATAACAATATTTGGACTTTTCTACCTGAGTGTTTAATGCTCAACACCCTCATTGTTAAATGCTACATTCAATAACAGAGATCTTTGCTATTTATAGATCTGTTGTGTTTGGTTTTTTTGAGGAAAGATACTAAGAAAACAAAGCTATACCCATATTTGGGACTGAAGCTATGAGACTTATAAGTCCTTTTGTTCTTGTTCTTTCACTGTCTTGTTTCTTCTTAAATGTTTGTATGGCTCAGGAAAGAACTCTCTTTTCCGGCAGGCTCAATGATTCCGAGACGATAGTCTCCAACTTTGGCACGTTCAGGTTTGGTTTCTTCAGCCCTGTTAATTCCACAAGTCGGTATGCTGGCATATGGTATAACACTGTATCTGTACCAACTGTTATATGGGTTGCTAACAAAGATAAGCCGATCAATGATTCCTCTGGAGTTATTTCGGTTTCTCAAGATGGAAATCTTGTAGTTACGGATGGTCAGAGGCGTGTTCTCTGGTCAACTAACGTCTCTAGTCAAGCCTCTGCCAATTCTACCGTCGCTGAGCTTTTGGATTCAGGGAACCTCGTGCTAAAAGAGGCGAATACCGATGTGTATCTTTGGGAGAGTTTCAAGTTTCCTACTGATTCTTGGTTGCCAAATATGTTGGTTGGGACAAACGCAAGAAGCCCTGGAGAGAACATCACCATAACTTCTTGGAAAAACCCTTCGGATCCTTCACCTGGAAGCTACACTGCTGCGCTTGTTCTTGCTGCGTATCCGGAGCTTTTCATTCTCAACAACGATAATAATAATGCTACCGTGTGGCGTAGTGGCCCGTGGAACGGGCAAATGTTTAACGGTTTACCAGATGTGTATGCAGGGGTCTTTCTTTACAGATTCATAGTTAATGATGACACCAATGGATCTGTCACCATGTCATATGCTAATGATTCAACTTTGAGGTACTTTTACATGGATTATAGAGGATCCGTGATCCGGAGAGATTGGAACGAGGCTAGGAGAAACTGGACGGTGGGGTTACAAGTACCAGCAACCGATTGTGATCTTTACAGAAGATGTGGCCAATTTGCGACCTGCAATCCTCGGAGGAACCCGCACTGTGCTTGCATTAGAGGGTTTAGACCAAGGAACCTCACAGAATGGAACAGTGGAAACTGGAGTGGTGGATGCATAAGAAGGGTGTCTTTGCAGTGTAATAATGGGACTGCTGATGGGTTTGTGAGGCTGAGGCGAATGAAATTACCTGACTTCGCAATAAGATCTCCAGCGAGTGAACCAGAATGCTTAAGGACTTGTTTGCAGACATGTTATTGTATTGCTTGTGCTCATGGCTTAGGTTATGGCTGCATGATTTGGAATGGAACCTTAGTTGATTCGCAGGAGTTGTCTGTTGGTGGAATGGATCTTTATATCCGTCTTGCACATTCAGAAATCAGTTGAGTATTAATCCATAACTTTTCTCCTATACTCTAATCTTTAGTGACTGCAGCTTCACTGATTGTTTCTCGTCAACTCTCTATTAGAAACACCGGACAGAAGACCGCTTATGATCGGTACAGCATTGGCAGGCGGTATTCTTGTTGTGGCAGCTTGTGGTCTTTTGGCACGACGGATTGTCATCAAGAAAAGAGGTCAGAGTTTAACTAAACTATGTTTGCTTCTTATAATAAGCATTGGACTTTTTAGTTTCAATAATGTCTTGGATTTGTTCTCAGCGCGAAAGAGAGGAACAGATGCAGAACAGATTTTTGAGAGAGTGGAAGCTTTAGCTGGTGGTAATAAAGGGAAGTTGAAAGAGTTACCATTGTTTGAGTTTCAAGTGTTAGCTGCAGCAACTGATAATTTCTCTCTCAGAAATAAGCTCGGACAAGGCGGTTTTGGTCCCGTATACAAAGTAAGTACGAGTTTTTAAAGTGTTACGGCAACAAGAATTTCTCTTGACATTTTTTGTTGTTGCAGGGGAAGTTGCCAGAAGGGCAAGAGATTGCTGTGAAGAGGCTGTCACAGAAATCAGGACAAGGGCTTGAGGAACTTGTTAATGAAGTGGTTGTGATTTCTAAGTTACAACACCGAAATCTGGTGAAATTACTTGGTTGTTGTATTGCAGGAGAAGAAAGGATGTTAGTTTATGAGTTCATGCCCAAGAAAAGCTTAGACTTTTATCTATTTGGTAACTTATCATTTCTTTTTGTTCCAATGTTTATAACCATATGTCAACTAACAGAAGCTAATATATATTGTTCAGACTCAGTGAAGGCGAAGCTTCTTGATTGGAAGACGCGGTTTAATATCATCAATGGAATATGTAGAGGTCTTCTGTACCTTCACAGAGATTCTAGGCTGAGAATCATTCACAGAGATCTAAAAGCTAGCAACATTTTGTTAGATGAGAACCTGATTCCGAAAATATCTGATTTCGGGTTGGCGAGGATTTTTCCGGGGAATGAAGATGAAGCAAACACACGAAGAGTCGTTGGAACATAGTAAGTAACTCTCAACTCTAACCATATGTTACACTTTTTCTTTTCATAAAGATAGTCATAATACCGAGTAAATAAATGCATCGCGCAGCGGGTATATGTCACCGGAATATGCAATGGGAGGAGTGTTTTCAGAGAAATCAGATGTTTTCAGCTTAGGAGTGATAATCTTAGAGATTATTACTGGAAGAAGAAACTCAAATTCGACTCTTTTAGCTTATGTGAGTCTACATAACTCGTACTAAGTTTGTTAACTCTTTCGACATTGTTCTCAAGCTCTAAAAAGCTTCTCTGTTTTATAGGTATGGTCAATCTGGAACGAAGGGGAGATTGATGGTCTAGTAGAGCCTGAGATATTTGACAAACTCTTTGAGAAAGAAATCCGCAAATGTGTTCACATTGGACTTTTGTGTGTGCAAGAAGCTGCTAACGATAGGCCAAGTGTTGCTACAGTGTGTTCCATGCTCAGCAGCGAGATTGTAGACATACCAGAACCGAAACAGCCTGCTTTTATATCAAGGAAGGGTGTTCCAGAAGCTGAGTCCTCTGAGAACAGTGACCTTAAAGCCTCTATCAACAATGTCAGCATTACCGATGTCACAGGGCGTTAGAAACCGCAGAATCAGAATGTATACGTAATTCGTGAAACTCATTAAGCGCTGCCAAAGAATATATCATCTAATCTTTTATAGATGGTTTAGGTCTCATACATGTAGTAATGTACAAGAAGTTTTGTTCATATAACAAATTCCTTTATACGAAATCAAATATAAAAATTAAGGTTTAGGTCTCTTGAAAGAAAAATCTTTTTTGCTAGTCTGAGTCTTTATAGGAGCAAGTTCCACAGATGGAAGAACAGGCTTCTTCTCTGAGCCTTCATGCGTAGAAGAATGATGTGTGGAAGATTCAGCAGCTTGGCGTTGAGACTCAGGATCCCAAAACTGGTCATGATGATGATCAGAGTATCTAGGAGAAGGAGAATTCGGGAAACTTTCGATGCTTCGGTTATTGAAATTGTGAAGGAGATGGATTGGAGATGAGCCATGAGTTGGTGTGGTTGGACGGCTAGAGTAAGGTGTGTTTGATTCAGAGTGTCTTCCGTGTTTTGTCTCCTTCTTTGCTGTGTGATGCCACTTCTTCAGCGCCGTTGCTACTCTTTCGTTAAACACCGTTGGCTTCATTGTAGTACCCATCTACACATATTTCATCAAACACAATGTCAAAAAAACTAAGATCATATCGAAAATCCGGTATTTGATCTCGCTGCAAATTTGTTGTGTGTAGTACCTGAGTGACAAGAGCATAGAGTGGAAGAGTCACATAGCTGCAAAGTATCTGTACAACAGCTCTGCAAGATTGAGAGAAACAGTGAAAAAGGTTCAGCTTTGTCAGTTTAAGGACTCATTGTTTTCATCAGTCAAGTTTATGTTTGCTTACCCAACTACAATTCTAATGATCACATCTGCATTGCTTTCATGGAAACAGTTTCTGAGACTGAATTCATACTGCAGATACCAAAAGTTCATGACACAACAATTAGTATGGCCCCAAAACACCGATGTTTGTAAAGATTGTGAAATGGATTGCTTACCGTACTCCAGGCAAAGAAGGCAAGTTGAAATGCATTCTGCAAAGTGAATGGTTTTTGGTACTCATGAGTTTATTATACCGTTAGGAGAAAGAGAATAAACAAAAGAGCCGTAAAGAATATCGTTTAGTACCGTGAAAAGGACCAAATGGATTAGGAAAAGGATGAACCGAGGGCGGCCAAACCAGAAGAGATCATCACCAGGCTGAACAACCGGGGCGCCTCTCACCACATCACCTTTCTCTTGGATTTTTAGACCCAATTTGGTTATAATGACTTGAAGCTTTGTTCCAACTATTAGTATTACCTGCAGATTACATTCACTCAGGTTAAAAATAAAGGCGGCAAAATGACAAAGTGGAAGAAATGTTCATTGGTTTTAAGAGTTTGTTGTACTTACAATTAGTGGAATGAATGGTAACCAGAGGTAAGAACGTAGTCCTGTTTCAAATGAAAACCAATGTCAATTTTGTGCGACTAATAGATGCAAGAAATGTGTTTTACGCGGTTTGCAATGAGCGTTACCAGTAGTATTGGTCAAGAGGAATAGCACGGCAACGAACCAGATAACCGGACTGCATAAGATAAGCAAAAGGTTAGGACAAAGTTTCCAAACTGGATGGTTCTCATATAATTAAAAAAAAAAAAAAAGTCATTAAGTAGATCCAAACCTGATTTCAACAACAGTTTTAAAGTCTTCTTCTAATGATCTCTGAATATACTTGCGGAAATCGAAACTCCTTTCGCTTCCAGGAGCGAAATGCGCCTGAAAAAAAAAGCTAGTTAGACCATTGTCTCCAGAGATAACCATTAAGAGTATTATTACTGAGTTTGTCATGGTTAATGAAGGTTGTATATATATAAACAGTGTAGTAATCAGTTGATATAACAAAACAAAAGATCACTATAGATTTCATACCGTGATGAAACCATGCCTCAAGGCTAAGTAATCAACTTTGGTAACAGATCCAAAGAACTGTCTGAAGAAACACACAATCCACAGTGTAACACTAGTCTTGCTCCAGAAACTGAGATGTCTTCGCCCGAAAGACGTGTCCCTCGCAAACCTGAACCTCTCAGGATCTGCATAACAAGAATGCATTCACCGTAAATTTCCTATTCCTGGTCTTTAAATCTGACCGAATACTTGATTTATAGTGCATACATACCGTTGGAATACTGATATTCTATTGTCTTCGTCTCATTCTCCCACTGCTTCCACCTCCTCATCTACAATACTCCAAAAGTCAAATCTTTTTGCATATATTCTTTCAAGATTCACATGGTGTATGAATATACAAACAAAAGCTTACCTTGGTCTTTCCAAGAGCATAAGTAACAATACAATATATAACATGAACCACCGCGAGCACGAAGATGAATATATGAAGCTGGTGGATTCCATAAGCAGATACAAAAGCCACTTTCCCCTAAAAGATATAACCATCAATCGAAATCAACATTTGCTCGGTTTTACAAGCGATGAATGGTTTGTATATATACACACATGGGAGATTATTTTAGTTACCTTCTCTGCGCATTTGTCATAACCTTTGGTGGCTAAACTTCTTCTATGGATATAAGATTCAGCTAACTCAAGTAGAAGTCTTCGACCGGATTTTTCGCCATCGTCTTCTTTTTTACCGGTGTCTTTCTTGCCGTATTTTTTAGCTTCTTCGGCGGCACTACAAGGGTGCATAGATGATGCAACCTTGTGGGAGATGCAGATGTTTGAGATTGGTGTTTGTCCGATTGTTAGGAGCAGTGATATGAATCCCAACAGCATAAGCTCTGAGTACAAATAAAATATCAAGAAGCTTTTAATGGATAAAGTTAGGTAGCAAAAGATGGTTTCTTTTAAAGTTTAATGCTTTCAATTCCTTTTACCTGCTTTGACCTTTTCAAGAGCTTCATAGAGAGCCTTCTTGTGCTTTTGTTTAAACCACTGTCAGTTAAAGCAAAACAAAGAGCAGATTTAGCCATAACTCATAAGAGAAGGAAAAAAAAGCAGAGCAAGAAGAACATGAAACCAGGAAAGGGAGTAGAAGTAAGAAAAAACAGAGTTAAAAAAGAAACAGAGCAAGAACACGAAACAGAGTACAAAGATGTAAGCACAACATAAAATGAGCAAGAAGAAGATCTAAAC